AGCCGTCATTGTTGTTTGGTGGCCCAGGCTGGATTCCAACCCACCACCTTAGGTGTATGTGGCTGGCGCCTTAGCCACTTGAGCCACAGGTGCTGAGCCTATATTGTTATTCTTTTGCTGTGACCAAGTTAACACCCTATCACAGGATGTTCAGTATTAATGAAAAAGAGCAGAAAGACCCTTCAGCCCCAGGAATAAAAGAGTCCCCATGGGGGTGTGTGTGTGAAGGGGGTCACCTGATGATCACATGGCAGGATGTGGACGCTGCCTGTGGTGTGAGGACTGGCATGGGGGACACAGCACATGGTGGCTGTCACGGATAACCACAAATGGGAAGTTGCTATTGGGGTCCCCCAGGAGTCTCTGGGCCTACAGGGGATGCTGCCATGGGAGTCTTAGAGGGTCTAGGGCAGTGTTTTTCAACCAATTTTATATTGTGAAACACTTGAACCTATAGCTAAAACTTCCATGCACACTTAAATTATGTTGACCAAAAAAGAATATACTTACTGTGCTTTGGAACGTCTTTTGAAAATAATTTAATTAATGATCTTTAATAATTTTCACACAGACACCAGGTTGAAAATCACTGCTCTAGAGCACCTCCCTGGAGGGTGCAGGTTGTCCCCAGAAGGCTGCTCGCTTACTTGCAGAACAAGGGAGCTGAAGGCTCAGAGCAGCCAGTGTGAGTTCCCTCAGTTCAAAAAACACTGTCAAAGGCTGCTCAGTCCCGCCAACGTGTAGATGGCTTACCGCCACCCAGTTGGGAGAAGACTCAGGGATTGCCCAGGGCCACTCATCTCACTGTGCCTGAAGCCACAGCCCTCATGTCACCCTGTGTTGGGGGGCCTGGATGGTGCCCCACACGAGATCTACTGCAATAGAAAGAGGGTTGGCTCTGTACCCCTAGATCTCCATACACCTCAACTTCACCCCGGTGACCCGACCTAGTCACTAACTGGTGTCTTGAGCTTCCTCATCTGTGAATGGGTCACAGTGATAGGACTTCCCTAGAGCTCCGTGAGCTTCGGTTGTAACATCCTGGGTGGTGGGGGCTCTCTGGGAGTGTGCGGGCGGGTGGTGCCTCCAGCCAGTCCGCGAGCCTGGGGGTGGGGGCGGGCCGTGCGCGCAGGCGGCGCTGGCGGGCGGGGCGGGCACAGCGCTCAGATCAGAGGCTGCAGGTGGGTCGCAGCCCGTCCCAAAGAGACGATCTCCAGCAGGTGACTGGGGCCGAAGGAGCGACGGAGCTGGCTCCTGCAGTGGCGGAGTGTGGGGCACAGCGAGGTGCGCGGGGTCGGGGCTCCAGGGCCCAGGGCACCCCTTCATTCCAGCCCCCTGACCCGATGCGCCTGTTTGGCGGTGGTGGGGATAGGAGTGGGAGACAGCCAGCGTCTAACACCAGGTGGCCAGCACACACACACCCTGCCCCGCCCTCTACCCCACCTCCCTGACACCACCACCCCCCACCCCGACCTGTTCCGGGTCCTACCAGCCTGGCCCAACTTCAGGAAACTTCCGGTTTCACGTGGTTCTTGGATCCTAGACCACTGAGCCATACCCAGCTGCTCCCTAGGGCTGCCTCCTCCCCACCCTCAGGACCGCTCAGGCAACCCCGTGGGGCTCCTCTCGGACACCTTTGCTCCCTGGGAGGCAGAGAGGACTTCCAGACATCCCTGACCCCCATCTGATCCCTACCCTCCAGCAGGCCCACGGTATGGGTGCCCAGGTCCCTAGGGTGGGGACAGAGAACTGGTGGTCCAGTCCAGGAGAAATTGAGGGCTGCCCAGGATGCTGCTGGGCAGCCTGTCATCCCCCTCTGGCCCCAGCAGGTACGTGTAGCTGGCTTGGGGCTCCTCTCAGCTGCCTGCCATGGTCCGCGGGCTGCCCGGTGCTGCCAGCCTGGCACGCTTCTTCCAGAAACTGAACAGGCTGAAGCCGCTGGAGGAGTCCAGCATGGAGACGTCGCTGCGGCGCTGCCTGTCCACGCTGGACCTGACCCTAATGGGTGTTGGTAGCATGGTGGGATCAGGCCTCTACGTGATCACAGGAATCGTGGGCAAGGATGTTGCTGGCCCTGCCATGATCTTGTCCTATAGTGTGGCCGCTGTGGCCTCCCTCCTGGCAGCCCTTTGCTATGCAGAATTTGGGGCACGTGTGCCCCGCACAGGCTCTGCCTACCAGTACACCTACAGGACCATGGGTGAGCTGTGGGCCTTCCTCATCGGCTGGAATGTTATCCTCGAATCTCTCATTGGTGCCGCTGTTGAGGCCCGAGCCTGGAGTAGCTACCTGGATTCCCTCTTCAGCCACAGAATCAGCAACTTCACGGTGACCCACCTGGGATCCTGGCAGGTGCCCCTGATGGGCCACTACCCAGACTTCCTGGCTGCCGGAATCCTCCTTCTGGCCTCTGTCTTTGTCTCCTGTGGAGTTCGGTTCTCCTCCTGGCTCAACCACACCTTTGTAGTCATCAACCTGGTCATCATTCTCTTCATCGTCATCCTGGGCTTCATCCTGGCTCAGCCCCACAACTGGAGTGTAGAGGAGGGGGGCTTTGCACCCTTTGGCTTCTCTGGAGTCGTGGCTGGTACTGCCACCGGCTTCTATGCCTTTGTGGGCTTTGACATCATCACTGACTCCAGTGAGGAGGCCCGGAACCCGAGGCGGGCTGTGCCCATGGCCATTGCCACCGCAATTGGCCTGGTGGCAGTCGCCTACGTTCTCGTCTCCACCGTGCTGACCCTCATGGTGCCCTGGCATAGCCTGGAGCCTGACTCTGCACTCACCGATGCCTTCCACCGGCGGGGCTACAGCTGGGCTGGCTCCATTGTGGCCGCAGGCTCCTTGTGTGGTAAGGGCCCTTCCTGGGAAGGGTGGCAAGGAACAGAACCTTCCAGGGAACGCATTATCATCTGTGCCTTGATTTTCCCAGTTACACAATGGGCCCAGGGAAGTGCTAATTATTAGAAACTCTCTACCCAGGCTTATTGGGAGGGACTTCCCCAAAAACTGTACATAGAATGCTAGTTTTGGTCATGGGTTTCCTGAGGAGAGGGATCCAGCTCTCATCAGATTCTCCGAAGGGCCTGAGACCTAAACTGGAGTGTCTCTTTCCTGGGGCAAGGATCTGACAATACAGTACCCCACACACTGATGCCCACTCAGAGAGCCCACACAAACTCACAAGGAGCGACCCATGCTCTGGCCACAGGAGAGGTGTGTCCACCATGCTGACTGCGTGCTACCCTCTTCTACAGCCATGATCACTGTCCTGCTCAGCAATATCTTCTCTCTGCCCTGCATTATCTACGCCATGGCAGTCGACAGGCTCCTCTTCCCAATGTTTGCCTACGTGCACCCCCGGACACGGGTGCCTGTGGTAGCTACCATGGTGTTCGGGATCCTCACGGCCCTCCTGGCACTGCTGATGGATCTCGAAGCGCTGGTCCAGTTCCTGTCTATTGGCACACTACTCGCCTACAACTTTGTGGCCGCCAGCATCATTGTGCTACGCTTCGGGAAGGCTCCTGCACCCAGCTGCCCAGGCCCGGCCAGCTCTGGCCCCCTGTCCAAGGAGCACAGCTCCGTCTCAGACCACATGCAGCTGGTGGGTGCAGAGCAGGCATCAGCCCCCGAGCCTGGACAGCTGCG